GGTGCAGGGGAGGGGCACAGGCTGATGGGGCGAGGGTTACGGGGGGGGGGGGGGCTGTGCTTGGGTCCAACCTGGAAATGAAACTAGACGGCACAGCCATGGCGGCTGTTGATTAGCGCGTGTTACAAGTCGCTTTTTATCGCGGCACGAGCAGACAGCAAAACATTTGGGGTTACATCACAAGGACAGCAGCAAGAACAACAGCAACAACAACAACAACAATTACAACAGCAACAACAACAATAACAACAACTAGCGGTAGCAACAAGAGCCAAGTGCAATTACAAAGTTGCGAAATGCAGTTTTGTTTTATTTATGCGTTTGAACTCTGTAATGCGATTCGCCTATATATCTCTATATATATACATATACATATATATTACATATAAGTGGCATATGGCACAGTAAACATTGCCTAAAGCGAACATGATTTGGCAGGGCTTCAAATTAGAGCGAAAATCTAGAATCAAAAATGAAAAGCATATCTAGTGAAATATGCAAACTTTTCACTTAAGATATCTTATATGCTTTGATATATTTACAGAGCTTTAGTTTTATATAAATATACACTATTATATACAAAATGTTGATTTTAGTTTTGATATAATAATTAATAACTATAATCAACACAATTCAAGCACTTGACTTTGCTTTAATCTAAACGCATTAAAACTTTGTTTAGCTCCCAGAAGTATGCAGTACATTTTTTGTACTTTATTTATTTATTATTATTTATTTAATATTTAAATATTTATAGCACAGCAATATATAGTTTATAACCTTTGTCTGCTGGCGAATCAGAAATATATATTTATATGGAATATGATAAAAAATCCAACTAGAAAATCAAACTCTTAGGCCAAGTTTACAACGTCGAAATTTCTCTCTGTGCACTGTCGCATGCATGTGTATGTACATATACATAGATGTACATCAAGTGAGCGCTTAAATATGCTAATTAGTGCACGCACACACACACACACACACACACACACACTCGTGTACAGGCTATCATAGAAAGCAGCGCACATTGCGTATACGCAGCGTGCAACAGCAACATGAGCTGTGTATATGCCAGAGGTTGTTATTGTTGTTGTTCTTGATATTAGCATAGACATTGTTTAAGCTGAAGTTGTTGTTGCTGTTGTTGCTGTGGAGCCGTCTGCAGTTACAGGTGCCGAAAACGCGGCATAGGGGGGGGGGGGGGGCAGCAGCTGGGCAAACCATTCAAATATTACTCATACCACATGTGATGCATGCGGCTAAATTTTGAACAAAGGCAACAGGCAAACAGAAACTTTTGCACACACACACACACCACAAACCGGCAAAACATTTATAAAAATGAATTTAAAATCGACAGGAAAATGCAACAACAGGCAAAATTTAGAACCAATATTTCACATAACATGTCCAGGACTGAGGCGGGGCTGTTGTGTGTGTGTGTGGAGTGTGTTTGGTTTGCTGCATGCCACAATATGAATATGTTTTGCCCTGCCTGACGTGGCAGCATATCAGTCATCGTGCCTCTGTGCCTGTGTGCCTCTCTCCAGCTTGTTGGGCTGTTGCATTATTTCCATTGGATTTTTAATCAAAATTGTGCGCCTTTTGCCACAATTCCAGCTTTTTTCGTTCGCTTTTTTGTTTTTTGCTTTTTGTTTCCGCCTTTGCAGTTCAATTTTTATTCGGTTGTCGAGTGGGCCGCGAAATTTTTACCCCAGTCAACAAATAAAACCCACATGGGCTGGTTGTTGGCTTTCGAGGGTTGCTGCTGTGTGCCCGGCCTGCGGTGGTTGCTGCGAGTCTATTATGCTGATTTATTTTGATTTTTATTGCAATTTATGATGAGCCGCTGTGCTGTGTGTGTGTGCGTCTGTGTGTGTGTGGGAGCTCTCGAATCGAATCCATTGGCAAATAAATCATAAGACGATATTTATGCTTTGCACGAGAAACTTTATACGAAATATTCAACGCAGCGGGCGATTGGGCGCCAAAAGTAATTCACTCAAAATGAAACCATAAAAGGGAGCAGTTGTGTGTGTGCGAGTGTGTGTGTGTGTTGGGGGTGGGGTAGCAAAGGGGCACGGTTCTGTGCTACTGTGTAACTTGAGGCGCCGTCAAGTTTTATGGCGTCTCCGCTCGGTGTCATGCTGTGTGTGTGTGTGTGTGCCCCAAAACTTTGCAGTCGATTTCAACTTAAAGTCCACATAAAAACTGCTGCATACCTGCAGGCGCCGCAGGCAAACAAAAAAAAAAAGAAAAGGAGCCACAAAGCAACAGCCAAGGCAACCGAAAGCAATCCTCAACAATGCGGCGCCGCAGTGACATGCGAATATTGCAAAATTTGCTGCCGCGACGCAAAAAGAAGACCAAACCCAAAAAAACTAGAAAACACAACTGAGTCAGGCAAGCCGAATACTAAATGCTCTTCCAGACGAAAGGCCCATAGATTTGGCAGATATGTAAGCAGCATGATGAAGATATCTTGAGAGACAGAAAAGGTTTTCATACGGAAAATTTAATTTTTGAAAGATAAGTTCTATGTATATATACATGTATATGATATAGCGATCCGATCGATCAACAGAAACTCAAAAGTATGCAAAGTCTGCTGGCAATATCTTAAATACTGGTAGTCTAGTTTGGGTGGCTTTATAGATTCTTTATTTTGATACTGTTCAAGATTATATATATCTTGCTTTATGGTTAAATATATATTTCCTGCGTACCAGAATTATAGCAACCCCACGAAAGGGTATAAAAACAAAACTCTGGCGCACAAATTTCAGCAAAATGCAATTGGATAGAGGCGCACGGAGAGCCCGGCTTTTGGCGCCGCGACAGACATGGGCATTGGACATGGCATACAATGCGATTCAGCTCAGTTCAGTTCGGTTTGGTTTGGTTCGGTTCGGTTCGGTTTTGGTGGCGGCTCAGCATTAAACACCCTTGAAAACAACTGTCAAACGCATTTCGAGAGGGTATCGAATGCAGCAGCAGCCGCACACATTGCTGCCGAGGGGTAGGAGGCGGGGGTTGCACATGGTTTATGAAATGTGGAACCAGTACGACGAGGTATTGTATGAAGACTGATGGCACAGGAAACTCACTCACACTCTATCTCTCTCTCTCTCCCGCTCTCCCGCTCTCTCGCTCTCTCTTTGTCTCTGCTGACTGTCGTTCAACATTTTGCTTGTGATTGCTTTTTACACCAAAAATACAGAGCATATCTACAAATATATGCATGTGTGTGTGATTGTGTGTGTGTGTGTGTGTGTGTGTGTGTGTGTGTGTGCCTCTCTGTGTTGGCTTTTTTAATTGCCTTACAGTTGTCCAGTGGCCGCCTCTGATGGCATTTCCTCTGTCGCACTTCTGTCATGTTTCATCCCGAAATTTATTGAATATTGCCCGAATGCAAGCTGATGCCTGATCGAGAAAAAAAAATGAAGGCTCTCCAGTCTATTGATATCAAAACTTCTGCATATTGCTGCAACACCCTGTACACCCCCCCCCCCCCCTCCTCTCTCCCGCCGTCCATTCGTTGTTTCACGCACGTGTCTGACAATTTTTTACGGCTCTCTCTTTTGTTTTTCCATACATTCCGCTTTGCTTTACACGCGCCACCAAATGTCGTCTATAAAAAGCACACGACAACAGCGCAAAATCACAGCCATAAGATAAAAAATAGAAAACAGTAACAAAAATAATAATAATAAATAAAACTTTTGCACTTATTTTTCTTGGTTTTTTTTCCCCGCAAATCGTTTTTGCCGCAGACATTTGCCAATCATGAACTCGAGCCAGACACAATATACGACTACATATTGTGCCCCCTCCCCCTCTCCCGGCCCTGCTCGCTGCCGCATCGACCACTAATTCATCTGAGCCCCAACCCCGTGAAGAACATATAAAAAACACATATTTCATTTGACTGCTGACATAATCAACCCTCCGCTCAGACAAGCCCCCAACCCCGCCATAAAACAAAAGAAAAAAAAAATAACAAATTCGGATTTAGTGCTGAAAATTCGCTGAGCGTAAAAAAAGTCAAAATTCCAAAAAAGGCAAAAAAAAAAACAATATTTTTAAACTGCGTCTCGGAAAACACGCAATGTTTTAGCTTTTTATATGAAATAGAAATAAACAACAACACGGAAATTATTCAAAAAAATACTTTTTTATGAGCGCCGCAAATTGAAGTACGCGCAACTTACAATTAGCTAGCGAACGAGAGGGCGAAAGAGAGGGCGAGAGCGGGGTCAGATCATGCACTGATTTCCATCTGTTTGTGCTCTCCTTTGTCTGCCTTGTCTTCTTTGTTATTTTTGGTTTATTTCATTTTATCTAATCAATAAAGTAATTTATATCTAATCAAAGTACAACAAACAAAAACTGAACTGCAGCAACAACAAGTGCCTAACAGCGTCATCAGACGCACACACACACACACACACACAGCTTACCCCTTGCTCTCTCTCCCACTCACTCTCTCGCTTTCAGTCGCTCATCGCCCATGTAATGCAAATTGTTATTCACATAATGAGGCAAAACAGAACGTAACGAGAAACAAACTTGACGATTATATGACAAACCTATGCAGTTTCCCCTGCCCCCCTCCCGCAACCATAGAACAACTAATATGTATGTATGCCTCGCTGCCTCTCTCTCAGCAGCTCAGCCAGCACATGCAGCTAACGGGCCGCTCTCTTCTGCTGATTTGCTTTACACCTTGCACTTTTTGCGACCTCTCTCTCTCTCTCCCCCTCTTTCGTATGTAAAATCTGTCTGGCTGGCTGTGAAGGTTATGCTGTTTATAAGGCAGCAGCCAACACATTAACAGGAAGTTGATCATAACTGTAACTCGATAGATTATTTGATAAAAACAACAACGAAGAGCACAAAATTAAACAGAATATTTAAATGCTCTAACTAAGCAAAGAAATGAAATGGAAAAGCGAGTGTTTCGCGGGAATTCAATAAGCATAATTTAATGCACTTACCAAACAAAGTAAATCACAAGCAAGCACTTCATTGGAATTTCTCCGGTAGCATCTGGCAAACACGTTGCCATCTTATCTTCATACACTTTTTATCTGTAAAGCAAGAAAGAACATTTAGCTTTTTATAAAGCAGCGTAGAAAGCGAACCATGTGAAATGTTTAAATAAGTAATGCTCACCTCAAAAGAACCGGTTCACCAGATGAACCAATCTGCCAAATAATGCGCTTAGCGCAGTTTCTAGTCAACATGTCCCCCCGCCCCCTTCCCCACACACTCCTCGCCTATTAGTCTGTCAATTTTTCAACTGTAATTTGCTGCTTTGTCAGCCTTGAAACGTGTCGCACAAAATCCTGTCCGACTGCTGCGACTTTTGCATGACCTGCTGACCCGCATTCGGAGCGCCTTGGGAGCACTTGGCTCATTGCTGAGTTTTGCTCTTGTTGTTGTTGTTGTGTGCCCCGCCGCCGCACCTCTGTTCGCCACGCGCCCGACCGATTAGTTGAACTCAATGCAAATTTATCGTCACAGCCACAATCACAGATCCACTCGAATGCCGAACTAATACCGAACCGCACACCTCTCGGCAAGTACCCCTCCCCGCGCGTAACTAACGGCTGCCGGCAAAGCGCTCGTCATGCGATTATCAGCCAATCGCTTAGTGTGCTATTTATTTACATTTGCCATTTTTGTTGTTGCGCGTGTATGTGCGTGTGTGTTCTGTTTTTTCTTCTTCTTCTCTTACTGTATTTTTTTTTCGTATTTGCTTTTGTTGCGCGGCGCTGCTTTTTGTAGATGCGCAATTATTGTGAGCGTGTTACTTTATATTTCTGTATTGTTTTCTCTTTATTTATTTATTTTGCATTCTATTTTTTGTATTTTGTACTTTTCCAATTCGCATTGCGTTTTGTGTTTGTGTTCTCGATGCTTCATATGCTCAATGCTGTTGCTGTTGTTGTTGTCTGGCAAATATGCTTAATTATTTTTACCTTAAAAGTCGCTCCATCAAAACGCGAATGCGAAAACAATTTCAACGAAACGAAACGCGACGAGACGCGACGCGAGAGACGCTGCGCAGCGCGATTTAGGCAAAGCGGGCAATGAGGGCGGCGTGCTTGGCGGTGCGCAGGCCCTGAGCCCATTTGACATTTTAGGCTTTAAATGTCAAAGAGACGAGCAGAAGAAGAAAGAGAGAGAGAGCGAGAGCGAGCGCGAGAGAGAAGTAGAAGAAGAAGCGCAACTGTGCGACAAGTGAAGCAAACAAAATGCAATTCGTATAAAACAACAACAGCTGCGAGTTAAATGAATGACAGTGTTTGACAATGATGAAATGTGCATGCTGATGACGAAGAAGACAATCATGATCAAGATAATGACGATCATTTTGATGTTGTTGTTAACGTGAGCATAGCGCTGACCTCATCGATGAGGCAGACAACTGCGCCCATTACAATCGACTTGACAATTGCAAACGTACCGCGTCTCGAGGCACGCTTCGACAAAAATTGGTCAAAGAAACATCAAGTATTTACAGTGTATTAACTGACTCATAGCATACGATAAATACGCAGGCATATTTATAAAGTTAAGCAGAATGTAATCATGCACACAGTGTTGAGAAGTGCAGCGAGGTACTTGGAATAATGGCGAACATAAAGAACACAATTGCTTATTGGACGAACGAGTATTAATATTAATTTGCTTATCAATTGTAGATAGATTGTAAATGAAATAAATATGAGTTAAGTTCTTTCAAATGCCACTTACATAAGTTTTAGTTAACCCAAATATAATCTATCTGTTAACGGATCTTCAGTTTGTTCCTGCTTCCTGCTTCGCTTCCCCTTGCCTGTCTGCTTGTCACTTTTTATTTGGTTTTTACTATCAAAATTTGTCAAATTTCTCGAAACTAATTGTAGTGAAATTGGCCTTCGCGTTGAGAGCTCGCCCTAATTGGAAAACTAAGCTGTGTTTTATTCTAATCTAATTTTCGACTATGTGGCGGCGGGAGGCTGCGGCTACGGCTGACACGCCCACTGCACTGTATCTGCCCCTCAATGAAATGATGAAAACTAATTCGTATTATTATGTTCGCTATGATTATTACAGAAAAAATGATGAAATGAACCAGCAGGCAGGCTCCTCAAGGGCGCCAGCCACAGGGGGCCAAATCTCACCGCCAGGTGGCAGCACCAACAGCAGCACAAGCATCGTGGATGCACAGCAGCAGCAGCAGCAGCAACAGCAGCAGCAACATCAACAGCAGCAGCAACAACAACAGTACTACACCCAGCAGCAACAGCAGCAATATCAGCAGCAACAGCGCGAAAGTTTCTTGGCCTACCAGCAACAACAGCAGCACCAACACCAACAACAACAGCAGCAACATCAGCAGCAACATCAGCAGCAGCAGCAACATCCACGCTCTGTGGGCGGCGGCAACTTTATGCTAGGCAATGAGCTCGTCGGCGGCGACAGCCTGCGTAGCCTGAACAACACCTTCGGTCCCAACTCGGAGTTCACCTCGCTCGGCAGCAACAGCTCGGCCAGTTCACTGAGCGGCCTGAGCAGCTCGAGCAGCCAAAGCGGACAGGCCCAGACGGGCGTCGGCGCTGGTTATCCTAATATGGTGGCAGCAGCCGCAGCAGCAGCAGCAGCCAGCCAGCAGCAACAGCAGCAGCAGCAGCAACAACAGCAACACATGTCCAACATGGACGCCATGAGCGGCTACAGTCAGGTAGGATACAAGTGCCTGGAGACCCTAGAGACTCCCCATAACACTTCGATTCCAATCTTGCAGATGGGCGGCGGCATGCATCCGGTTGCCAATGGCGGCATGATGGGCAACGGCAATGGCCAGTATATGAATGGCGGCGGCGGACAGGCCGGCTACGCTGGCGGCCAGGGCGGCATGGGCATGGCCGGCATGGGCTATGGCAGTGCGGCCGCACAAAGGCATCATCAGGTGAGTACAATCGCATCCAATTGATGACTTCATCCAATGACTGCAGCTGCAGCGGCAACTGCAGATCGTCCCACTTCCCTTCTCAGAGCCGGCTTATGGCCAGCTGTTGGCATTTCAAATTCATTTCTGACCATAAACAGATTGTTTTTAATGAACGCCTCCCCCATTTGCGTACAAACGCGCCACAAAAAAGAGAATAGAGAAAGGAACAGAACATCGCATCGAAATCTAAATTGAATTTCTAATGAATTTCCCAAAGACAATTTGGCGGAAAAGAGCGAAAGTCAGCTTTAACCAAGTGAGGTTTTAGCTTTAAACAAGCTAAAGGTTTATATGGGTTTGTTAGCTTGGGAATTTTAGCTAAAATTTCACACGAGTTCTTAGCTTGGGATATTTTTTGTTTAAGTGTTGGAAAATGGGATATAACGGGATAAGGATTATTTTTTAACACTTTTAAAAAGTATTAAAGAAGTATTTGAAAATTAAAAAAGATATAAACGGAAATATTAACTAGCATTGCCCATAATGAGAACTTAGAGAAACAGTTCAAGGTATTACAGTCCCCTAGTCTATTTACCAGATTGATTATATGACAATATCTAAACGTGAGCCTTAGCATTTTATATGCTTTGATCAGTTGGTCTGCTGGCGCAGTTTAACGAGCGTTCGTAACATTGCCATAAAACCCTCCATATAGGCAAGGTCATGCGAGAATATGGCAAACATGTGACAAAGGGTGGAACAGGGGCCGGGGGACAAGAGAGGTGGGCGGGGGGGGGCAGTACAATTACGCAAGCTGTGACGACTTAACGAACGGCAGGTAAATCTCGGAATGGATTTTATGGTCTCGGTACAGTTCGCAGTTCAGCTTGACTCGACGCGGTTCGGCTCGGGCTTGGGCTCGGGCTGGGGCTCGGGCTCGGCTGGGTTGGGCTCGGTTGGATTCGGATTTGGCTCCATTTGGCTACTGGGCCGTTTGCGGCGCAGTTGGCGGCTTTGAATGCGCTTTCAATAACAAATTTAATTGTTTGCATGATGTGGGCAAAGTGCAGCAACTGGGCAAACGTTGCGGTAGGGAACTCTCTGGCTGCGGCTGGGTAGGGGGCAGCGGGTCGAGGGCTTTGGCTAATTACGGCCAAGCAGCTGTGTGACATATGAAAAGCAACAACAGCAACAACAATAACAACAACAGCGTGTTGGAGCAATTAGCAGCCACAATTGGCGTGTTGCACTTACGCAAAGCCACAAAGGCGACTCGCACGTGCCGCGCGTTCATCTATTTGGATTAGAGCTCAGCATGGAAATTCTATAACAAAAATTTATCTCGTTTCAGATGACGCCCATGAACCAAATGCAGAACATGTCAATGGGACCCGGCGGCGGCATGGGCCAGCAAATGGCCGGCATGAATCCCATGGCCAAGATGCAGGGCATGGCCAACGGTGGCTATCCGCAACAGCAGCAGCAGCAGCAGCAGCAGCTGTCGCAGCAGCAGCAGCGCCGCATGGCGCCGTATCCACATCCGCAGATGCACATGGCACAGAAGCGCGCCGGCGCTGGCGTTGGCGGCGCCATGTATCCGAATCCTGCACAGCAACAGCAGCAGCCGCCGCAGATGTACGGCGGCCAGCAGATGCATCCGGGCGCCGCCGGCGGCGGTGTGCCAGGCGTGCCCCTGCCCATGCAAGCGGGCGCCGGCAATGGCTATGGACGTGCCGTTCCCATGGCCGGCGGCGGCGGTGGCGCAGGCGCCTACGGACGCATATCAGCCGGCAATGGCATGGGACCGAATGGTGGCCCGGTAATGGGCCCGGGCGGCGGACCCATGATGCCCATGGGCGTCGCTGGCATGGGACCCGGTCCCGGCTGCATGGGTCAGCAGCGTTTTGTGCCGCAAGCGGGCGGCGCTGGCGTCGGCTATGGCGCCGCTGCCGGCGCACATCAGGCCCAATTCTATCCCGGCGGCAGTGCTGGCGGCATGGGCGTGGGCGCTGGCCAAGGCGGCATGTGCCCGGCTGGACCGGGTTCCGTTGCCAGCACCGGCAATCCCTACCAGAATCAAGGGTAAGCCCCCCGAACACCCTAACTCTCCATTGAGGCACTTGCTCATTTCCGTTGTCATTTACAGTTTCCAGCAAAACTATCAGCACAGTCCAGTTCCTGGCAATCCGACGCCGCCGCTGACGCCCGCCTGCAGCGTGCCCTATGTCAGCCCCAATCCGGACATCAAGCCGCCAATGGACAGCAGTAAGTGTATTGACCCTAGACGCCAGTTTGGCATATTCATTAACCAAATGCTTTTTGTGTGCAGGCGAAGAGATGAGACTGACATTCCCGGTGCGCGATGGCATCATTCTGCCACCGTTCCGCCTGCTCCACAATCTCTCGGTGAGCAATCATGTGTTCCATCTGAAGCAGAATGTCTACAACACGCTGATGTGCCGGTAAGTCCCCCCAGCTGCGCCCTGATCCCGGCCACAAATTAATCTCCATTTCTCGTACAGCACCGATCTGGAGCTGCAGCTGAAATGCTTCCATCAGGACGATCGCCAGATGAACACCAACTGGCCGCACACCGTCACCGTCTCCGCGAATGCCACCCCGCTCAATATCGAGCGCTCCGAGAAGAACAGCACAGCGCTGCGTCCGCTCTATCTGAAGGCTGTCTGCCAGCCGGGACGCAATACGCTGCAGCTGACCGCCAGTTCCTGTTGTTGTGTAAGTCTCCAGCTGGATAATCAATACCGTGTGACCCGCTATAATCTTCTCTCTCTCTCTCTCCCGCCTTCTTTTCGGCAGTCGCATCTGTTTGTGCTGCAACTAGTCCATCGGCCATCGGTGCGCCAGGTGCTGCAGACGCTGCACAAGCGGAATCTGTTGCCGCTGGAGCACAGCGTGCAGAAGATCAAGCGCAACCTGAGCCTGCCCAGCGTCGGTGCGGACGGTGTGGTCACCAATGGCGGCAGTCCGGATGCTGCGCAACAGTGCGCCAAGATCTCATTGAAGTGTCCCATTACGAAGAGTCGAATACGCCTGCCAGCGCGCGGGCACGAGTGCAAGCATGTCCAATGCTTCGATCTGGAGGCTTATCTGATGATCAACAGCGAGCGCGGCTCCTGGCGCTGTCCGGAGTGCAGCAAGTCGGCCATAACCGATACCCTGGAAATCGATCAGTAC